ATAGGTTAAATTGCTACGCCACGTAGGGGATCTCTAGCACTTGAATACGCCATCTGGTAGCTAAATTCAAAATTAGTGTAGATAGGTCGAATTAGGGACCTTATACGAGGGATGCGCCATGTACATTGCTAGGCTGAAAATGTGGGGGGACAGCTTCCGTTGCATCGCGCAGCCATGTTTATCTTTAGTATGTATTAACGGCTGTGGTTAGTTGAATCATTCGCGCGCAATCACGTGACTACACAAGTTCCTGTCCTCCAGCAATTTACATGGCGCGTCCCTCCTATAGGGTCTCTAGGTCGAATTGCTACGCCACGCCCTCTGCCAGGGATCCCAATATCTAGTGTTAAAATATATCATACCTAATTGTATTATTAATTATTAAAGTAAATTGTTAAAATTAAAGTATATATGTAATATATTTTCAAGAAAAATTATAATTTAATTATTAAATATTTCATTTTAATATCTGTTCAATAAAAAATGGCATTGTCTGTTGAACTCTGCTGTACAAAAAAACAGCTTAACAAAAACAAAAAAAATTCAGCAGTGCCTAAGAGGTTAAACGAAGCTAAGAAAAGCGTAACTAAAAAGAAAAAAAGAAAAAAAAAGAAAATTAAGTAAAAAATAAAAAAAAGTACAATTATATTTTCACCCGTATAATAATAATAATATTATTATTATTATCACAGAGGACTGGTTAATGGCTCATGCGTTTTGAGCAATTTATTAATAATTATAATTTCAATTTACTATTGATCATTGTCTAGTGCTTTTTTTTCTCTCTCTCTCTCGTCTGCAAATTCTGCTTTTACAAAAATTGTCTATCTTTGGGTTTTTATTTGATCTTCTTACAAATTGATGGCGGCGATAAACGGGGATAAAGGTTAACGGTGGTTGGTGGGTGGTGGGTGGTGGTAATGGTGGTGGGGAAGAAAGGAAAAGGTAAAGACGAAAGATCAATATATACGTTTAAGGGTTTATCATTTGATCGGTAGAAAAAGGGAAGGGAGGGTAACCCTTTTTTTTTGTTTGGTTTTTGTTTTTGTTTTTTTTTTGTTTAATTTACTTACCCTAGCACGTGCATCAACTTTGGCTCCATTTCTTAACAAAATTCGAATAATATCGGTTTGATTAGCTCTAGCTGCCAGGTGTAAGGGTGTTTCTCCCCTAACAGTTGGCACATCGGGATTGGCTTCGTGTTGTAGTAGGAATATCACGATATTCATGCATCCCATAAAACTGGCCACGTGTAACGGAGTCAGTCCGGACTGGAAAATATTTTTTTTTTGTTTATTTAAATTATTTATAATTAACATATTTTTTTTTGTTTTGTTTTATTCCAATTTCAAGAAACAATTTTCAATTATTTTCCGTATAATCTCATTCTTTTTATTTCATATCCGACTCGCATAATCCGTTAACCAGCCTTTCCAATTATATCTCATTTTTTATTTCTCATATTTCAATATTTAATTTACGGTTTGAACGTAAAAAAAAAAAAAAGAAGAAGAAGAAGAAGAAGAATAAAAAATAGAAGAAGCAGCATGACCAAAAATATCAAGCAAAATATTTGTTTTGTTTTTTTTTTTTTTTTTAAATGAAGTAAGAAAAAAAGAAAGAAAAAAAAATATATAAAATATTGATAGAATCTTGTAATAATTTCTTTTATATTTTTCTTCAAATAATTCTTTTTTTTTTTAATTTTATTTTTTTATTTCATTTTAAATTAAAAATTAGAAACTATATATATATATATATTTAATAAAAAAAATAAAACATCATCATCATCATTATCATCATCATCCGTTACCTCAGTCGTAGATTCGATCGATGCGCCATGTTTCAGCAATAATTCGACGACCTTGATACGATTCTTCTTGCAAGCAATGTGCAACGGTGTAAAACCATTTAATGCTCTTGCATTTGGATCGGCTTTTCTGTCCAAAAGTAATTTAGCTACTCTAACGTGACCGCAGTGTGCGGCTACGTGTAAAGAAGTTAAATAATCGATGGTCACTTCGTCAACTGGTGCACGATGATACAATAATGCTCTAGCAGCATCAACGTGATCACCTTGCGAGGCCATATGCAAAGGTGCTAAACCATTCTACAACAAACAAATGTTATAAAAATAGATATTATTATTATTATTATTTTATTTTATTTTATATCTTTGAATTACGTGCGCCAATATTATCCCCACTCCAACCGACTTTATCCCTACTTCAATTCATTTCATCCCCACTCCAAGCTACTTCATCCCCACTCGTATCTTTTTGATGCTCAAATATTGCACGGTGAGACTAATTTGAGTATAACAACAAATAAACTTTACTTAATATTAATTATATTACGTTATTATTTTATTAATATTTAAATAAATGAAATTTACTTAAATTCATAATAATTATTCAATTAATAAATCAATCAAAAATATTGTTATAGTGTAATTTATCAAAAAGAAATCTAAATTTTTCTATAACTTTGTATAAGTGGGGATGGTGGATGAACCATATCTGATTTTATTCAATTATTTATCTCAAACTTGAATATATAATTGCAATATTAATAGTTTTTGGCACGACAATTTTATAATAAATCCAAATTATTGTTATAGTTAAATTGAACAACAATAAAATACAAATCTTATTACAATGTGGTCGAGTTTCATTTGATTTTTTTCAATTTTATATCTCATCTACTTGAATAATATTGCAATATTGATATTTTTTGATTATACTTGACAAATAGAGTTTTTACCTTGGAACGAGCACTGATAGGTGCTGAATTTTCAAGTAACGTGTTTACAACTTCCTCGTGTCCGGATCTAGCAGCACAATGCAACGGAGTCAAACCGTCCCTCGTTTTTGCATCGATTTGTGCCGAATTTTCTAACAGGATTTTGACGATATTATTTTTACCCCATTTAGCTGCCACGTGTAAGGGACTTATATTGTGCTGAAAAAAAAAAAAAAACATTTTAATATAATTCATTGAATTCTTAAATAAATTAATAATATATTAATAATAATTAACACTTTAATGGCCGCACGTAATCTACGCAATCAAACGTCGCTAAGAGCCGATATAATATTTATGAAATATTAATTTAAAGAAAACAACAACAATTTAACAACAAATTTTTCATTTTATATAATTTTAAATATAAAAAAGAAGTTATATATAAATAACGGTTGTTTTGATTATCACAGACATGTTGTGTGAGCGGCTATTAAAGTGTTAATATTAATATTATTTATACTAGGGGTGCCCCGCCACACGTTGCTGTGGCAGCTCACAATCAGTCCGATACACACAAAATAATATTGCGATTATAAATTGAGATATAAACTATCCTATCTTTTAAGTTGAATGAAACTGCACACAGTGTGCAAAATTTGATTAAAATTGGTTCAATAGTTTAGGAGTTCATTGCAGACAAACAACGTGACACGTAATTTTTATATATATTAAGATAAGATATGTAAATAAATAATTATTCATAGTGATACCTTAGCCAAATAATTAACGTCAGCACCACGTTTAATTAACAAACGTGCTATCTCTTCGTTACCATAATGAGCAGCAATGTGTAAAGGTGTAAAACCACTTTTAGATGTGACATCAGGTTTATGATCGTTCTGTAAAAAATAAAAATAATAATAATAATATATAAATAAATTAATTAATTAATTAATCGTTACATTTACAGAATGCAATAATTAATACGTCAATATTTGAAATATAACGCGTTTAAATAATTCATAATTATTACTTGTAAAAGTAAATCGGCTGCTTTGCAATCGTCTTTTTTAGCGGCAATATGTAATGCCGGTAATCGAACTTTTCCTTTGGAATCATTTTCCAATAGTACACTGACGACTTTGTCGTGACCTTGCTGCATTGCCACAGCAAGTGGAGTAAATCCATCCTAAAAAAAAAATTGAAAAAAAAAAAAAAAAGTAAATTAATTAAATAAAAGATAGAAGAAGGAAAAACAATTAAAACAAAAGGTTTTAATAATCAATACGATCAACACGATACTTGTGATATAAAATAAATTTAATATTCAAAATAAATATTGAATTAATATTATTCAATAAATGTTGAACATATTGTTGTTGTTTTTATATTTTACCTCCGTAGCGAGACTTTGATTGGCTCCATTGCTAAGCAATAATTTGACGACTTGATCATGATTCTCTTGGGCTGCCATATATAATGGTGTAAATCCATTTTGTGATTGAATATTAACCGCGGCACCATATTGAATAAGTATACTAACTATTTCTGCTTGGCCAGCTAAAAAAAAAAAAAAAAAAAAAATCATTTAGATAACAATTGATGAATGTATTAATATCGTATAATAATAATGTCTTGAGAATGATTAATATATAACTATGCGGTATAATTTACCTAAAGATGCTATGTGCAATGCGGTATTGCCTTTCTTTGTCGCAGCGTCGACCTTTGCACCCCTTTTCAAAAGTTCCGTTACTATCTCAACGTGTCCATCTTTCGATGCTAAATGCAATGCGTTTAGACCGTTCTGAAATTTATATATCAATTTTATTCATCATATCATTTATTAAACGTATATATGTATAAATATGCATGTATATATATATATATATATTTGAGAACATGTATTCAACCCTTAGCATTTTACTATGACATTAGTTTTTTTCTTCTTGTTTTTATTAAAACAACAATTTACATTTATGTTTTTGTTTATTTATTTTTTTTTTTTTTTATCAAAATTATATTGAATTGATTTTATTTTATTTCTTTCTTTTATATATATATATATATATTTCTTTTTCTTTTGCAGTTGAAGTAAACTTAATAATCTTTTGCTAACTGTGATGGTTAATACACAAAATTGAAATATATATATATATTCAAAAATATATTTAAATAATATATATATCCTTTGTTGTGGGATATATTTATTTATGAATACAAAAAAATTGGCTTTTTCAAAAATGTAATACTATATCTATATATAAAAAATTTTTTTACCGAATTTGCTGTATTTATATCTAAATCGGTGTCGAGATATTCGATGATTTTTTCAAGATTCCCAGATCGTGCTGCCCGAAGAAATGCGGTTGTATCGTCAGCCTGAAAAAAAAAAAAAATAAACACACACATACACACACAAAAAATAAGAAAAAGAAAAAGAAATAGAAAATGTCAAGTCAAATTTTTTTAAATAGAAGAAATTTAAAGAGAATAATGGAAAAGAAGAGAAGAAGAAGAAGGAAAAAAAAAAAGGACGAAATGTATCATTAAATAATATTGATACAGCAATGAACTTATTATCGTCAAGTTTTATTTATACTTTAAAAATATGCGTGAGTACATAATTCTATTTTTGATCTAATTAAATCTCATCTCTACTGTAAAATCTAGTTTACTGCAGTTAATGGTTTGTCACATCTTCTTCTTCTCCTTCTTTTTCTTCTTCCTGTTGTGTACATTAAACGCTTCGATTACGATATTTATTTTCGTTATAGCTTAGAGAAATCGATTATTACAAGGTCTGTAAAAAGGGTGATAAATAGGATAATAAATACAAAATGAAATATATATATATATATATATATATATCATTTATCATATGTTCTTTGTAAAATTGACCATGTAATTTGATAAATGAAAACATGTTTTAATAAGAAAAAAAAAAAAGAAAAATCACTAGTGAAATACAGTTTAATAAAGTACTGTAAATTATGTTTGTGACTATGCATAATGATATCAAGTCTATATATATATATACACAAATAATTCGCAATAAAATAATATTGCGATTATAAATTCAGATATAAACTATTCTATCTTTCAAGTTGGATGAAACTGCACACAATGTGCAAAATTTGATTAAAATCGGTTCAGTAGTTTAGGAGTCTATTGCGGACAAACAACGTAACACGTAATTTATATATATTAAGATAAGATAAACTATCCTATCTTYTAWGTTGAATGAAACTGCACACAGTGTGCAAAATTTTATTAAAATCGGTTCAGTAGTTTAAGAGTCCATTGCGGACAAACAATGTGACACGTAATTTTTATATATATATATATATATATAACGCGCGTAAAAATTCATTCATAGAAACTTTGTCTTTTTTTTATTTTTATTTATTTATTTTTTTTTTCTATTGTAATTAACAAAACAAACAAAATTCTTACAAATCACACACACACACGTTTATTTTAATAACACGTGACGTAAAATATAATTATTAATTTTAATTAATTTAATTAATTATTTATTATAACTTTCGAATAATTCAAGTGTATCTCAAAATGATTCTCATTAAAAAAAAAAAAAAAAAATATTAATTAATATCATCAATCACACGTGTAACTTAACTATATATCATTGTTTATAATAATTTAATATTACCGGCTCATTACTTTTCTTATTAAAAAAAACAAAAACAAAAAAATAAAACCAATCCTAATCAATTAATAATTAATATTAAATATAAATCAATTACAAATAATAAATATAAAAAAAAAAAATAGAAGAATAATAATCGAACAATCGAACATCGTAAAAAATAGGATTCGATACTATCGATATTAATTACGAGAGAGAGAGAGAGAGAGAGAGAAAAAAAAACTTTACAGTATATTTGCGCACCCAAAAAAAAAAGATCGTATCACGTATTCATATCAAACCACCCCATATACCCAAACTTCAGGCTCACCATATATAACCCAACACCCTAATTTTTAATCGTAAAACCCTAAACGAAAGTATATTCCTTAAGATCCTGATAAACCCCCATCGAATTTACAAAAAAAAAAATAAAATGATTAAATATCAAACAAACATACAAATGAAAATTCTCCCAAAATTTAAACATTGAACAAACAGCAGACGAATATAAAAGCCTCCAAAATTGAAACATCAAACAAACAAATTAAAATCCTCAAAAATAAATGTTGTTCACAGTTAACGATCTTCCTTTCCTATCCTTTCCTTTCCTTTTTTTTCCCTCTTCCATCCCCCTTTCACCCTCTCCTTCTTTCCTTCACTCACTCACTCACTCACTTTTCCCATAAGAAAATTGCTTAACATTCACCAACGTTTAAGACTAACGCAAAATTCAAATCTGTCAAAGATCAAAAAATGTTGATTAATAATGAACATTAAATAAAAATGGATCCTTCATACCTGATTAGTATTGTCCGTGACCATGATGTCGTGCCGGAGAACCAGGAAACGTCCTTGACGAAGTGTTCTCTCCGGCTCGACGATTCGAGTGATTCGAGAATCGTTTGTTGAACAAAAAAAAAACGAACCCACCCAATTACCAAACTACCCGATTTAGGGATGAATGAAACGACAACTAGAGGGACTAGGATGACGACGACGACGACGACGACGACGACAAAGATTAAAACCCACCACCCGCGTCAATCCACCATTCGTGATGCCGCCCGGGTAAAGGTAACGCCAGGAAAGGTACACGGATACGATACGATACGATACGATACGATACGATACGATACGAACGAACGAGTAGAACGAGTTAGAGTAAGAAAGATTGTGGGAGTGCAAATGAGAAAAAGAGAGAGAGAGAGAACTCCGAGCTCCGAGTGAACAGGGGTGGGGGGTTGGGGTTGGTGAGGTTGGGGTGGAGAAAGAACCTAAACCCAAGATAGGAGCCGCCCTTGTGCCTTCGTACAAAGCGCAGACTCGAACCTACCAACGATTCTCCCCATCTACGAATAAAACAAATACTACTTGTATATTAGTAATAGTAATAGTTTGTGAGATGGTAGTAGTGGTGGTTAGTAGTAGTGGTAATGGTAGTTGGCGGGGTAGTAGTATCGTTTTTTCTTTCTCCCTTTTTACTTTTATTTCACTTTTCTCTTTCCAATTTTCTTTCTATAACTCTCGTTGGTTCATTCCACATTCTCATTCGTTCAAAGCACATAACTTCCGTGTTAGATCACATCCGGCAATTCGAATGATAAACTCTCATTTTATTCTTTTTTTTGTTTTGTTTTGTTTAGGAATGTTTATAGGAATCATTTTTTTTTTGTTTTGTTTTCTATTTATAGATTGATAGGGTTGGTATTTAAAAATTCATAAGAATTATTTTATTATATTAATAATAGGAATATATAATAGTGTATTCAATTGATTAAATTGAAAACGTTTTGGTTTATTTCATAAAGAATTGAGAAATGTTTATTTAGAGAATGATTTTACAGGAATTTAACTTTATTCAAAAAACTAACCCCTTTCAGAGGTATCTTCTATTACAAAGTTCTTGATAAAAAAAATAAAAAATAAAAAATAAAAATGAAAACTATGTTTATTACAAAATTATAGGAACAACAAATTAAATTAAGATTTGTCATATATTTATTATATATATATATATATATTAAATATTAATAGATCATTCCTACATATACTATCAAAAAAAAAAAAAATTCAACTTTGTAATTCATCATACACATACATATATATATATACCTACCCTCGAAAAAAAGATTATAACATTGGATTATTATTTTTGGATAAAAAATATTGACAGATGAAATATAAATATATGAACAAAAATAAAAATGTATTTCCATCGATCGATTTGGTCATTTTAAGAGGGACAACCAACCAACCAACCAACCAACCACCAAAGTAAGGTAACAAAAACAGCAATGACGTTAAAACATGGTTGGTAAGTAGATAGGAAGAAGTAGTAGTGGAAAATGAGTCAGACCTTTGGCAATAACACGTTGTGTGTTATGCGTCGGCGTCCTAAATCGGTTTGTTATATGGTGGTCTAGAAAAGCGTCACCTGTAACACACATAGTGTGTGTCTGGTCCCCTTGGCGGCATATATGACGATCAATAAAACACTTCTCTCTCTCTCTCTCTCTCACACACATACATACATATACACTCTTTCTATCTCACTCACTCTGTTATGTGCTAATCAACATTGAAATAAGAAACACGAATGCACTTCCATGTATATAACCAAAGGGGTTGCGTGTAAAATGCACCTTACATACAATGATCTTTTCTTTCTCAAGGCTTTCATCACTCACACCATTTTAAACTTACCCTTCTTCTTCTTCTTCTTCTTCTTCTTCTTCTCTTCTTCCATTCTATTATACTACCTATTCAAGTTTTTCCTTAATCTTTATCTTCTTTCTTTTCTCTTTTGTATTTCTTTTTTTTTTGGGGAGGTTATTTTTTATTTTTACCTCAGTCTCGTATCATTCTTACGTATCAACGATAATGAATATTTAATAGTATGATTGTTATTTTATTGATTTATTTAAAAAGAAATTAGTTGTTTGTATTCATTTTTCAAACGTTTCCTTGATTATCAGGATTTAAATTTCGTACCGTTTCGCGCGCTATTGTTGCCAACCAATCGTATAGACGTACCGCCAAATTTGAATCGAATTAAAAAATGATTATATATGTATACATATGTATATATGTATTATATATATATATTGTAGATCTATTTATAAATATAGAAAAGTAAAAATTTCAAGCTATAACGTTTTACTTAAAATATTATATGAATAAATATAAAACTATACACGTGTGATATATATCGAATTACGTCAATTACGTAAAAGTAATAATAAAAAATAAAAAAACTGGTTAGTTTTTTAATTTTTCAATTAACAAAATCAATTGACAATTATATAAATAAATACTAAAAAAAAAAATAGGATAAAACGTGTGTTACAATAGCATCGAATTATAATCAAACTTTTCAAACATTTTCAATTTGAATTGATTAGAGAGGTTAATCGATGAAAGAGAAAAACAAACATTGGTCAGTTTAAATATTAAAATGATAAAAATTGTATGTTTTTTTTTTTTTTTTTTTAATTACCTCAAGTCTAAGCCTAATAATGGGTAGAAATTCAGCCTCAGTCGTCATTCCTAAATTATAAAACTGTGTACTATGTTTGACAAAACTTGATGTTCATGCATGTGTATGTATGTATTATTATACTCTCCATGCTGAAGACGTAGGTCATTGGATATTTATAGAATTCCTTGTTATTCTCATCATAACATCTTGTTCTTCTCGTAACTTTTAACAAAAGATATTTACATAACCCCTTAGATATTACATTGATCCTTTTATAAACTCCCTCCCCCATAAATGATCAAATATCTTATTAGAAATTTGTCAATTCAAACCTCTTCAACGTTTTTCGATTTTTCAAATTAACTCTCAAATCGTTCCATCAAATTTTATACTACTTTTTTTCTTTAATATAAATATATGTATAAAATAATATTGTTTTTTTTTTTTAAATATTTATTTTATTAAACATCGTTCGTATACAATTTCCTCGTATAAAATCGATTGCAAAATTTAAACAAATCAATTTGGCGGCAATTATTCGAACTGTCAATACAATCGATCTTCTTACGAATATTATTTCGATTTATATTTCTAATCGATTTTAATGTATTATATTATATATATTAATTGTAAATTTGTATTATTTACAATCACATTTGTATAAATTATTTTCATTTAAATGCACTTTTTGTTATAACATGATATATATTTTAATTATAATACGTAAGGGTAAGAAAAATATTTGAATATAATTGTGTTGACGTTAAAATTCAGCGATTGGTAACCATAGAGATATTACAGATGGAGGAAACAAACCATAGGCGGTTGTGTAAGTGGAAATGTCTCTGCATGAATGTAGCAAAAAACGAAAGGTTGATGTTGTCTCTCTCTAACTCATGCGGTACCGGCGCATGCGCATTAGACTTGTCGTGTTTATCGTACACGTATGTATACGATACTAGTTACCTTACCTCTACTAGCAGACTAATGCGCATGCGCCGCTCAGCGCAAGTTAGAGAGAGACAACATCAACCTCCTATCTTCTATCTCTTGTTATTTCGCCGACAGGTTTTATGCTGGTTTGTTTATTCCTATGTGTAATATCTCTATGCTGGTAACACTGTTTTTAAATTGGCGCCAAATTACGTCACATTGAACGCAATATAATTGATTGACATACTGTCATTATTATTTTCTTATTTATTAGTATTAATTATTTATTATTACGTGATAAATTGTTGAAATTATTTCATTTCTTTTATTTTTTGTTTGTTTGTTTGTTTGTTTTTATATTAGAAATTACTTGAGCTAATAGAAAGTGGTTCAGAACAATTTTTATATCAGGAATATGACATAGCACTTAATAAATTTAATACAGCATTACAATTATTAGAAAAATCAAATTCAGACGTAAGTTATTAAATAATTTATATTTTTTAATAAATATTAATAATTATACATATTATTAATCAAATATTATTTTTATACATATATATATATATATATATATATATATATATATATATATATATATATATATATATATATATGTATAATTTCAGGATAAAAAAGATGTTAAATATATGGTAAAGTACTTGATATCTAATACTTTATTGCAATACAATCAATTTGGTGATTTATTGGAAGCATTAGACATTTTAATTGATTTAGAAATAAGTATGGAAGGTAAATATCCAATTGTTTATTATGGATTATCAAAAGCATATTATAAATTATACAGGTAATTATATATAAATTTGTATAATCAATACATATTATTTGTAAAATATTTCATATTCTAATAAGATCAATGTGTTTTAGGTTTCAATTTGCTGCCAATACAATTCAACGTGGTATTGAAATATTAAATAATGACGAACATTTAGAAACATTTACTGCACCACCAAAATGTATTCGAAGGGAAACAACAAATGATGGATTACTAGTATGAAAAGAAATATTTTTTTTTAAATCATATTTTTTTAAAGATCATAATATATATATATATATATGTATGTATGTATGTATGTATAATTAATATTACATATTATTATAAAAATAGCTTAGTTTATTGGATTTACGAGAGAAAACATTACAATGGCGTTATCCAGATGCAAAATGTGCCTTAGATAAATGTCAAAATGTTTTTCGAAATTGTCCTCCCGCCAAAGATATATATTTCAGGTAAGTAAGTAAATAAATAAATAAATAAATAAATAAATATAAATCTTTTTATAAATAAATTGTATGAGTATATATATATAATCATAAATTATTTTTTCTTTTCTTTTTTTTTTTTTCATCATCATCATTTTATTTATAGTGATCCATCTTTCACTGGTTTCGTTAATGTCACATGTAGCAATAAAAATAATCCTTGTAATTTAAACTATCATCCAAATTGTTGGAAATTTATTAAAGACAATATAGATCCGTCTAAAGATATTTCAAATTTGGTAAACAAAACAAAAATAATATATATATATAAATGTATATAAAAATATATTTGTATAATAAATACATCTTTGAATAGGATATGCTAAGTCGCTTATGTCTTAAACCTAACTGTAAGAATCTAGAAGAAATTTGTCTAATAACAAAAATTGAAATCTATAATGATCAGGCTAAAGTTATAGAAACTATCGAAGATTCCTTGTTATTAAAATTAACCAAATCTAATTATCCAGCTAGTAAAGGTGCTGTTAAAAAAAAAGTACGAACATAAATGTTAATTTTTTTTAATATTCAATTCTTTTCTTTTCTATCTTTCTTTTTTAAATAATTTAACGTTGATCATTATTATATATATATGTATATATATATATTTAATTGTTTATATTGATTTTTATTAGAAACAAATATTACCATCAATATCTTCAATGTCAATAAAAGAAATTAATAAGAAAACCGCAGAAATTAAGAGAAAAAAGGAAGAAATTAAGAAAAAAACCGTAGAAATTAAGAAAAAAGACGAAGAAATGAAGAAAAAAGACGAAGAAATGAAGAAAAAAGACGAAGAAATGAAGAAAAAAGACGAAGAAATGAAGAAAAAAGATGAAGAAATGAAGAAAAAAACCGAAGAATTTAAGAAGATAAATAAAGAAATGTAAGAATAATATTTATTATAATAAATAAAACTTACTTAAATATTTAATGATCACAAAAAGTATACATATATATTATATATATTTCTTTTTATTAATATTTCTTGTGTGTATTTATATATTTACAGATTGGATAGAGAAAATTCGTTAAATAAATTAAAAGAATTAAGAGAAAATTATTTTTATCCGCTTATAGGTAAAATTGAGGTATGATATTTATTTTAATTTATACAAATTTATACATGTTATTTTACATATTATTTTTATAAATAATATGTATATATTTTTGTTATTACAGACAGATTGGGAATGTAAAAAGATAGAAGATGCAGATCAATTCAATGGTTTTTTATTGGAGTGAGTAATTAATAGAAAATTAATAGAAATATAATAAATAAATATTAATTAAGAGCAATATAAAAGATTGTATTTTAATGTTTGATCAAAATATTCTTTATAATATATTTTTATTATCTATATTATATCTTATAATTCTTATATTTTATTATTTAATAATTTATTATTATTTATTATATATATTTTATTAGGATTTTGTATGAATATATTAAATCAAAAAAAGTACTAAGTAAAGCGGTATTAATAATTAAATGGCATGAAACAAAATTATTGTTCCCTGATTCTCCAGAGATAAAAACAATTTTAGGTAAATAATCTCATTGTATTACAATTTATACAATATTTAGTGTTATATATATATTTTTTTAAATTGTTTCTTTATTATATTATTATTTTAGATTCAGATATAATAGATCTTTTACTTAAACACACACAACTTATAATGATTGGAGATATTATATGTATTCCACAAGACTTAGAAAAAGCGCTCTATTTATTTGAAGAGGAAGTAATTGAAAATTATGAGAAATTAATAATCGACAACTTTGACACAGAAATTGCAAAATCAGCAAGTATATAATCAATTATTAATTCATAAATATAATTTAAAGTTGTTTGATATTAATATAATATAAATAAATGAAATAATTAATAATGTTACTTTAAACATTTATTTGCAGTTGATAAAGTATTATCGAATTACAATCCTGAATTTGAAAATATAGAAGATGAAGAAGAGGTCTGTATATAAATATGTAAAAAAACAAAAAAAAATAATTTATTTTTTATTTGGTCGAGTCATAAATAACTTCCGTTTCTTATTTATTTAATAAATTTTTTAGACTCTGAAGCTAAAGCTTCCTAAGAGTCTTTGTACAATAAAGTATAATAATTCATATAAACTAGAGGTTAAATTATAAGTTGAGAAAAAAAATATATCTAAACAATAATAATAATGGTAACATTGATTTTAAGCATCACAAGCCTCGCTAAATGTCTCTGTTAATAAAGAAATTATAACACATGGTTTTGAAAACACAATAATCAAATGATAGTCACAATCTATTCAGGTAGTTGATTCCAGATTTTTACCGGCGTAATTAAGAAAGATTTATCATAATTTACAGTTCTTGCAAATGATTAAGCTTAACACTTGAAAATGTCTCTCAGAACGAGCACGAACAGTAGTCATAAAATTGAAGTTAATCCTCAATATTTCTTATGAGACAAAGAATGGAGTTTTTTTTTTTTTGAACTCTTTGCAATAGTTGAACGTATCTATTGGATTTTGCTCGAATATTACCTTTAAAAGGTTCATCAAAGTCGGAAATACATCCCCTGCACTCGGGTTCATCTTTTAAGATCGTATCTCCAGAACGGAATTTTACAAACCAATTTCTGACTGCCCTATCAGTTATCCAGTCCTGCACTGTATAAGCTGTATATTTTTTCAGTTGCCATCTTAGTGCTACTTGCCTTGTTTCAATTCCTAAAGCATTACATGTTGAATATGCACTTTTGGAAGTGAAAATTTCTTTAGAATGGGTGTGATTTGAAACAATGTAACGGAGTGGTAGGCGGCTATGTAACGGAGCGGTAGGCGGCTATGTAACGGAGCGGTGGGAGGCGATGAAACGGTCGCGATACTAAATAAGAAGAGAATACAATTATCCTACAGCAGATATTTTGATTTTGTATTTGTCTCATTCTCTCGAAACTTAGTTTTATTGAAGATTTCACTTCTAACACGTGTGACCTTTACTATCCGTTTCAGTGATTAAGAAAAACGGTTAAATGTAACATTGACTGCATAAAAAAGTTAACAGAAGACTAACTGAATCCTCATCTATATAGTGATATCGAAAATCCGTTTGTTTCGGTGACTTATAGTAGGTAAATAAGTAAATACATAGCCGCATCGGAAGTTACTTATGACTCGACCTAATATTTCCTTCATATTATATATATATATATATTTTCTTCTATGCAATTGTTAATTATTTTTTAATCTTATAGAATAATATGAACATTTCGTCAGACTCATCTGATAAGATTAGCAATGCAAGTAATAAAGCAATTGCTGATACTTCAGTAGATGCTTATTTAAAATCAGTTACCGAGAGTAAATATATTGATAATAATAATGATGATATAAATGACGTAAAAAATTATATTGATGATATAGTAAAATATGATGTAATATATTCAGAAAGTGCGCAACTTTGTGTTGATCATTTTGTAGAAAAATATTTTAATAAGTCATCAGTTGCATCAAATGATGTGCCACCTGATAATATTAACACAGTCTTGTCTGTAAGTTATCTTAATGTTTATTAAAAATTTTGTATAAATTCAACAACAAAAAATTCAATGTCCATGTTATATATTTATTTATATTTTTTTTTTGTAAATTTACAGTATATAATTCAAAATGATGAAATGTCCACAAAAGATAAGCAGGATTATTTAGAAGAGTTTTATTATTTAACTTTAAAAAATGGTATTAAATTGACACAACAATATATGCAAGGAAATGATGATATTTTAAAATCAAAATTAAATCACAATCAGTCTGAAGTATACAAGGAACTAAATTTAGAAAAATTACTAGAAGAAGATATAACAGATGTGGAACAAGGTTATTCATTAATAAAAGAATATAAACAACAAACAAAATCATTAAAAATTAATAATAAGAATTTTAGTAGGAGAATAACACAACTTGACAAAAGTATGAATGAAATAAAAGAACAAGTTGCGTAAGTATTTTTAAAATTTATTCTAAATTCATCTAAAATCATTAAATATTCATAAATATATATATTCATATATACATATATATATATATATTTATTTGTAATATTATTATTATTTAGTGTTTTGAAAGTAATGAATTTGGAATTGAGAAAGCAAAATGCTGTACAAAAATTAGAACTGCAATATCTAAATAACAAAAATGTTTTAAGCGAGTAAGTAAAAATTTCACATGTATATATATATTTAAACATTGTAACAAACTTATTTATATTCTATTAAACGTTTTCTTTTTTTTTTTCTTAATATAGTGTCCTCCATTGTAGCAACGCAGCAGTAGAAATTTTATCAAAAATAAATAATATGATTGAAAGCTATTGTGGATCGAATATTGATTCAGATTATAACGAGTGGAGGTCAATATTAAGTGAAGTATTGCATGCAGCTCAAGACCTTGAGGTACAATATAATAAATTTTGTAATTATATTTCTTTGAATATATTAATCCTTTGCACTCCGCACGATTCTCGACGTTGAAGTAGCAGCTACACCGCGCCACAGAAATGGCACATTTACAGACCCTCGTATTATTTAGTATAACTTTGGAACCAAGTAACGGATTCTAATGATATTGGTCTTATATTAATCTGTAAACATCAAGGAACATATTTACCTAAAAAACTTTTACCAAAAGAACTTATTTACCAAGAGAATGTATGTGTGTAATAGCGTTGCAATTGAAAAAAAAGCGAACGCGTTACATTGTATTTGAAATGTGACACTATTTGATAATATTTCTTTGTACATTATAAATCTCAATATAAAATGCGAGATATGCTTCTATAAAAACATTTCTTCTACAAATTCTTCTTATCGCTTTTCTCAAGTTTCGTCAAAAAGTTCTCGGATCCGTCGTTAAACACGCGTCTCGCATTCTCTTAGAACACAAAACCTGCTGACAATTTTTATTATATATCTTTGTTATTTGACTATATTTTGATTAGATGTCTTGTGCTATTTTAAGAGAAAACATCAGGGAAACATGCATGTGTCAAAAAGTTGTGCTGAAATAACTTAATTCCTCGTAATAACTAATAAACTTTAATGTCTCATACGTTGAGACATCAAAGTGATAGGCTAGAATCAAAATGTCTCATACGATGAGACAGCAGAGTGCAAAGGATTAATAATAATAATAATAATGAAACAGATCAAATATTTGTAATATTGAATCTAATATAATTATATAATAATTATATATTAATTTTGTCAATGATTCGTTTGTTGTAATAGATGGAATATGCGACACAAAAATCGTTGGTAGACTTAATGAAACAAAATGATTTGCGTGAGATTAACATGAAATATATACAGCCACCTCTTAGCCCAACGAGAAATTTATGTACTTGTGTAACCGAAGCTTTTACGTTGTTACATAGAAATTTAACAGACTTGACGGGAGAATTTTCGGAACTTTTTTCTATATTGTTGTCCTATTCACCATCAGATATTTCTCAAATAATACCATCACATCTAGTAAAATTGAAGGAATTTCTTTGTCGTAAGGAAATTGGTAATAAGAATATTTATGATAATAGAATAAAAGCAACAAATGACGCCAAACAAAATAATAAAACAAAACTTGAAAATATATATGAAAATATTGGTAAATTTTTAATATATATATATATATATATATATATACAAAATTTTATTAAAATTGGTTCAGTAGTTTAGGAGTCCATTGGGGACAAACAAATATATATATATATCTATAAAAATACAGTATAAATGTAGTTTAGAATTCATATAAAAACATAATAAGGAGAAGACATTTTTGTTTAATGATATATAATATAAATAAATTTACAGAAAGCATCGATAAAAAGTTACAATCAACTGCTATTGAACAAGTGGAATCAGAAGATATTCAAACTAAAGATACAGTTGTCAATGATAATGTCATTGAAACATCTAACGATAATGAAATACATTCACCGCTATTAGGTATGTTTATTAAAATAAAATTTGATTTATTTATGAAATGTGAAGATTCCATGGGAAATAAAACCCAAGGAACAAATAATACTATATGATAAAAGATGATAATACGAATATTGAATGGTAAGAACAAAAAGACGAAAATTGATCTTATTGATGAATGAATAAATAATGAGTATATGTATATTATTTCAAAACTAACAAATTAATTGATAATATTTTGGGTAATTGCAATTATCTTAAATTAATTGATAATCAATGTCCCATCATTTTGGTTCGTGTAATCATCTTTTTGAGAACTTCAATGTCAAATTTGATAAAAGATCATAGATTCATATGAAAATATTGATAAATTTTTAATATATCTATATCTATAAAAATACAGTAAGATATATAATAAATAAATTTACAGTAAGCATCAATAAGGCGTTACAATCATATGATACTGAACAAATGGTAGCAGAAAATATTCAAACTAAAGATAAAGTTGACTGTAATAATGTCATTGAAACATCTAACGATAATAAAACACATTCACCGCTATTAGGTATGTCTATTTAAATAAAATCTGATTTATTTATGTAATGCGAAGATTCCATGGAAAATAAAACCTAAGAAACTAATGATATATATATATATATATATAAATAAAATAATATTGCGATTATAAATTGAGATGTAAATTATCCTATCTTTCAAGTTTGATGAAACTGTACATAGTGTACAAAATTTTATTAAAATCGGTTCAGTAGTTTTGGGGTACATTGCGGACAAACAAC